TCTTTGTATTTAGTTTTTGACAGTTTCATTAATATGTGTCTTGGTGTATTTCTCCTTGGATTTATCCTGTATGGGACTCTTTGTGCTTCCTGGACTTGATGATTATTTCCTTTACCATATTAGGGAAGTTTTCAACTATAATGTGTTCAAATATTTTCTCAGTTCCTTTCTTTTTCTCTTCTTCTTCTGGAACCCCTATAATTCGAATGTTGGTGCGTTTAATGTTGCCCCAGAGGTCTCTGAGACTGTCCTCAGTTCTTTTCATTCTTTTTTCTTTATTCTGCTCTGCAGTAGTTATTTCCACTATTTTATCTTCCAGGTCACTATCCGTTCTTCTGCCTCAGTTATTCTGCTATTGATCCCTTCTAGGGTATTTTTAATTTCATTTATTGTGTTGTTCATCGTTGCTTGTTTCATCTTTAGTTCTTCTAGGTCCTTGTTAAATGTTTCTTGCATTTTGTCTATTCTATTTCCAAGATTTTGGATCATCTTTCCTATCAATCATTATTCTGAATTCTTTTTCAGGTAGACTGCCTATTTCCTCTTCATTTGTTAGGTCTGGTGGGTTTTTATCTTGCTCCTTCATCTGCTGTGTGTTTTTCTGTCTTCTCATTTTGCTTACCTTACTGTGTTTGGGGTCTCCTTTTTGCAGGCTGCAGGTTCGTAGTTCCCGTTGTTTTTGGTGTCTGCCCCCAGTGGGTAAGGTTGGTTCAGTGGGTTGTGTAGGCTTCCTGGTGGAGGGAACTGGTGTCTGTGTTCTGGTGGATGAGGATGGATCTTGTCTTTCTGGTGGTGGGCAGGTCCACGTCTAGTGGTGTGTTTTGGGGTGTCTGTGGACTTATTATGATTTTAGGCAGCCTCTCTGCTAATGAGCGGGGTTGTGTTCCTGTCTTGCTAGTTGTTTGGCATAGGGTGTCCAGCACCATAGCTTGCTGGTCGTTGAGTGAAGCTGGGTGCTGGTGTTGAGATGGAGATCTCTGGGAGATTTTCGCCGTTTGATATTACGTGGAGCTGGGAGGTCTCTTGTGGACCAGTGTCCTGAAGTTGGCTCTCCCACCTCGGAGGCACAGCACTGACTCCTGGCTGCAGCACCAAGAGCCTTTCATCCACACGGTCTCAAAGTCCACCTCCTTAATTTGGGATGATTCGTTGTCTATTCATGTATTCCACAGATGCAGGGTACATCAAGTTGATCATGGAGCTTTAATCCGCTGCTCCTGAGGCTGCTGGGAGAGATTTCCCTTTCTCTGTTCGCACAGCTCCTGGGGCTCAGCTTTGGATTTGGCCCCGCCTCTGCGTGTAGGTCGCCGGAGGGTGTCTGTTCTTCACTCAGACAGGAGGGGGTTAAAGGAGCCGCTGATTCGGGGGCTCTGGCTCACTCAGGCCAGGGGGAGGGAGGGGCACGGAGTGCGGGGCGAGCCTGCGGCGGCAGAGGCCGGCATGACGTTGCACCAGCCTGAGGCCCACCGTGCGTGCGTTCTCCCAGGGAAGTTGTCCCTGGATCCCGGGACCCTGGCAGTGGCGGGCTGCACAGGCTCCCGTGAGGGGAGGTGTGGAGAGTGACCTGTGCTCACACACAGGCTTCTTGGTGGCGGCAACAGCAGCCTTAGTGTCTCATGCCCGTCTCTGGGGTCCGTGCTTTTAGCCGTGGCTCGCCCCCGTCTCTGGAGCTCCTTTAAGCGGCGCTCTGAATCCCCTCTCCTCACGCACCAGGAAACGAAGAGGGAAGAAAAAGTCTCTTGCCTCTTCAGCAGCTCCAGACTTTTCCCCAGACTCCCTCCCGGCTAGCCGTGGCACACTAACGCCCTGCAGGCTGTGTTCACGTCGCCGACCCCAGTCCTCTCCCGGCGCTCCGACCGAAGCCCAAGCCTCAGCTCCCAGCCCCGCCCACCCCGGCAGGGGAGCAGACAAGCCTCTCAGGCTGGTGAGTGCCAGTCGGCCCTGATCCTCTGTGCGGGAATCCCTCCGCTTTGCCCTCCGCACCCCTGTTGCTGCGCTCTCCCCCGCGGCCCCGAAGCTTCCCCCCCCCCCGCCACCCGCCGTCTCCGCCCGCGCAGGGGCTCCTAGTGTGTGGAAACCTTTCCTCCTTCACAGCTCCCTCCCACTGGTGCAGGTCCCGTCCCTATCCTTTTGCCTCTGTTTATTCTTTATTTCTTTTGCCCTACCCAGGTACGTGGGGGGTTTCTTGCCTTTTGGGAGGTCTGAGGTCTTCTGCCAGCGTCCAGTAGGTGTTCTGTAGGAGTTGTTCCACGTGTAGATGTATTTCTGGTGTATCTGTGGGGAGGAAGGTGATCTCCGCGTCTTACTCTTCCGCCATCTTCCCGGAAGTCTCCTATTTGTAGTTTTTTAAGGAACCTCCATACTGTTCTCCATAGTGGCTGAACCAATTCACATTCCCACCAGCAGTGAAAGAGTGTTCCCTTTTCTCCACACCCTCTCCAGCATTTATTGTGTATAGATTTCTTGATGAGGGCCATTCTGGCTGGTGTGAGATGATATCTCATTGTAGTTTTGATTTTTGCCTTCATTCTTAAAGAATACTTTCCCTGGATAGACAGTTCTGGGTTACAGTCTTTTTAAAAAGCTCTTTAAGGATGTTATCCACTGTTTCCTGGCCCCTGTTGTTTATGATTGGAAGTAAGTGCTGTTCAAATAATTGTTTTCCTGTATGTGATACACGGTTTCTCTCTGGTGGTTTCAAGATCTTCCCTCTCTGGTGTTCAGCAGCTTGACTCCGACGTGTGGTTTTTGTTGTATTTATCTTGCTTGAGGCTTACCGAGTTTCTTGAATCTGTAAATTTGTCTTCCACCAAATTTGGTTAATTTTGGTTATTATTTCTTCAATTTTTTTATCTCATTCTCTTTCTTCTAGGACACCTGGTGACACTGTCCTACATGTCTCTGAGGCTTTTAAACTTTATTAATTTCTGATCTTTATTCGTCTCTTCAGGTTGGATCATTTCCATTGATATGCCTGTTGTTCTCTCCTTCTTGCTGTTTCACTGTTCTGTCCTTTCTGGCCCAACTCCAACGTTGACCTGCCATTTCTCCTCTTTCGTAAGACTATGGGGTTGCTGAGGGGTCAGAGCTCTGCACTGGCTCAGTGGGACTGAGGGCCAGAGAGGATACACACGTGTGATGTCATCTCTGCCATGAAAGTGTGGCCCCCGGGGCAGGCAGGACGTGGCACAAGCTCATGCCGGGGGAAAGGCGGGCAGACTCAACGGAAGTGATGAGTCTCTGGGAGAGAGACCCAGGCTAGGGCAGTCAGTTGTCTTCCTGGGGGACGCAGTGGGCGGGGTGCAGGTCCCTCCTGAGTCCTAGGCCCTGGGCTATCTGCTCTCTGACCTCAGTGGACCTGCACAAAATCCCCACCTCAAAATTATCATCCTCCCACGTAACAGATTGGGAGAGGTTGTCTGGGGCCTAAGGTAGCGCAGCTGGTTAAATGACCATGAGCGTGTGGCTCGGGGAGCACCAGGGAAGCCTTTTGTGACGGGGCAGGATTTGAGACGTTGGAAGGCCATGCGCCTCCTCCAAGTGCCCAGTCCAAATACCGCCCATGATCCTGGTATTTTTCTGGGCAGGATTAGTCCCGGAACTTGAACAAGTCTTAGGTTTCTTCTGCCATGTTGTGCAGACCCTGTCCTGGCTCTGACACGATCACTGACCAGCTGGGTGATGCCGGCAGGTAACTCACCTTTCCAGCACCCCTGTCCGCATTTGAATGTGAGGAAATACAGGCTCGGTCTTGCATAGTTGATGCAGGGGATCAACGAAGTGATGGTCTGTGCAGCTGCGCGAAGAGTTTCAAAAGCACTTACACACGAGGTCGCTAAGGATTATTCGTTCCCTCCATTCTGACAAGGCCACGTTCACACAGTGGCATAAATTTATTCTGGCCTTTGTTAAAGCGGTATTTTATGTGCTCGGTGTTTCTCTAGGTGTGAGGATGCAGCAGGGGACAAAACAGGTAAAAAATCTTTGCCCTCGTGGTGTTTATGCTCCACCCTGCAATGACCTCTCTCAATTCAAGCTGTCTGCTTTTAAAAAAGCCTCATTTGGGGGATTGGAACCCAGAGTTTTCAGCCACCAACTCTGAAGAAACCCAAGCTACCCTGCTATTAAGTAACTGACTCGGTTTCCTTGCCAGTGCTGTCAGATGCATCACGCCTGTTTTATAGGGTCGTCACGAGGGTAGAAGGAGGTGATGTATGACAAGGAGTCCACACGGACTGGCTGTGGGCTGGTGGATCCCCGATGCCTGAGCTGGGGGCACAGGGAGCCTGGGGCAGAAGGCAAGTTGATTTGCTCCATGCTGAGCTTTCCGGCACCACCGTTGAGAACGTGGAAACCGGGGTTCTTTCTCCCCTTCCCCAGCACACGCAGAAAGGACTCCAGGGAATCCATCATCCCCTCCGTGCACCCCTCTTACCTTCCGTGGTGTCCCCACCTCCCTGGGCAGCCCCACATCTCCCAGCGGGGGAGGTGCCGGGATCCACACCTCCTTGGCTGCCTGCCCACCTGTCTGCTCTACCTGGCCTTGGACCGCGCATGTATCTAAGAATAGGATCATGGTGGTCAAAAACAAGAACCACCACCAAAAAACCCAGTTAGCATTCTCTGACTCTTCACTCTTCATGTTGATCCATGCTGGGATATTGAATTTTCTCCCTTGGGCTGGCTACTTTTGGAGTTTTCTGCAAAATGTTACGCGTGAATATGCTGCTTTTCTTTGAGAAAACTGTGTTACTGGAAGAACAGTGCAATGACCCCCCCAAGCTCCTCTCGTGACCAAATGCCCCCAGCCCCCCCCCCCCCCCCCGCCAAACTTCAAAGGCTCTTTCTTCACTGATTCTTCCCTGTTCTTCGCCCCACCCCTCAGGCGCTGGCCCCGCCCCCAGCTCCATCCCCACGGCCGCGCCCACATCCACACCCACCCCGAACCGCAGGAGACCCCAGCTGACTCCGTCTCCCTGTCCTCTCACCTCCTCCCGCAGGTTACGGGCACGCTGCTCCGGGCACGGACGCGGGCAAGGCCTTCTGCATGTTCTACGCGGTGCTGGGCATCCCGCTGACGCTGGTCATGTTCCAGAGCCTGGGCGAGCGGATGAACACGTTCGTGCGCTACCTACTGAAGCGCATCAAGAGGTGCTGCGGCATGCGCAACACGGAGGTGTCCATGGAGAACATGGTGACCGTGGGCTTCTTCTCCTGCATGGGGACGCTGTGCATCGGGGCGGCCGCCTTCTCCCAGTGCGAGGAGTGGAGCTTCTTCCACGCCTACTACTACTGCTTCATCACGTTGACTACCATTGGCTTTGGGGACTACGTGGCCCTGCAGACCAAGGGCGCCCTGCAGAGGAAGCCGCTCTACGTGGCCTTTAGCTTTATGTATATCCTGGTGGGGCTGACAGTCATAGGGGCCTTCCTCAACCTGGTGGTCCTCAGGTTCCTGACCATGAACAGCGAGGACGAGCGGCGGGACGCCGAGGAGCGGGCGTCCCTCGCCGGCAACCGCAACAGCATGGCCATCCACATCCCCGAGGAGGCGCGGCAGGGCCGGCCCCGGTACAAGGCGGACGCGGCGGACCTGCAGTCCGTGTGCTCCTGCACCTGCTACCGCCCGCAGGAATACGGTGGCCGCTCGGCGGCACAGCAGAACTCCTTCAGCGCCAAGCTCGCCCCCCAGTACTTCCACCCCATCTCTTACAAGATCGAGGAGATCTCACCAAGCACATTAAAAAACAGCCTCTTCCCGTCCCCTATTAGCTCCGTTTCTCCCGGGTTACACAGCTTTACCGACAACCACAGGCTGATGAGACGGCGGAAGTCCATCTAGGGTCTGGGGAGGGAAACACAAACAGAAGTCATTTGTCATAGCTGACGTTAAGTCTCATTGGCCCACCTTGTCTTATTTATTGATTATGGTTATATCCTTTATTGTTATGATTACTGTCATCATTTTTTCTTTCTCTCCTTCCCTCTTTCTTGGTTTCATTTCTTCCCCACCTTCCCAGCGAGACAGAGCAGGCCAAAGGGAAAAAAGGAAAGGCCCGTCTTCCTGTGAAACTCGCATCTGAGCATGAAGCATGGATTTCTTCCTTCTTCCCAGCAAAGTATGCCTTACATTTCTCCCCAGCCCGCCCCACCTCTGGGGTGGCTTTCCCAGGACAGGTGTGAGACCCAGACAAGGAGACAGAGCCCAGAGGATACCTGACCCAAAGTTGCACACGCGGCTGAGAGCCTCGAGTGCCCACCCACAGTGGTGTCTCTGACCCAACTCCTTTCTCTTTTCCTCCCCAAGCAGTGGGTGGCCGAATGTGTGTGGTCTGAGTCTGTGTGAATGAGTGCACACGCCAGTGTGCTTCTGATGTGACAAAATGGAACGTATCAGGTATTCATCCTTCTTTTCCGTCACACAATTTTGTTAATAGCCTGCTTTCGGCCGCTTCCAAACAAAACGGGAAAACAAACAAAACCCACGAGGTTTTTGATTTATCATCTTGCCAAATCATGCATGTTCCACAAGCAATCTTTATCCCAGATACGTCATGACCACATTTTTAAAGCGCTAGATTCTAAATTATATTAACTTCTTTTTAGGGGGTGGGTGGGCAAGCCGACACGGATCATTTTAGCTTGCCAGTTCAAAAATTTTTTAAACAAGCATGCACTTTGTTAAACTGGTATGCGTTATCAACACAAGAAAACAAAACTAGCAATGGAGTAATCAAAAGCCAATAATATTAATTTATTAGAGACATTTTTAATTTTACCACCTCTAGTTCCAACAATTTTCCATGTAACTGGCCGTGTTGGGGGAAACTGGAAAATTGTTGCAACCACAGAGTATTTTATTCTCTCTTATTTGTGTAGCATCTACTACATGAATAAGAATTACAGTTCAGGATGCTTGGATGAGAATGGGTATTGGTAAGTGGATGTGGTTTCTTTTCCTAATGAAAAACGACAGGGCATTCCTCATTTTAAAGAATATATATACTGTATTTTAAGAAAGATTGTCTCTAACTGCATTTGACTTGTAAATAAGGGAATGTTGATGTTGGTCTCAGGAAGAGTTTGGAGGCGAGGAGCTGAGTCTTGGCCTGCTGGGAACTTGTCAGTCTCAGGGGGTGATCTTTTTTCTGAATAATGGAGAAATTCCTCCCCACTCTCAATAGGGGATGACCCCAAAGGGAAGGCCTGCTAACATCCTGGGGCGGGGGGGCTATAGAACATAGCACATTGGAGGCCCTTTCCACGACAGGAATAAAGCAAAGTCTCACCTCCAGATTCACGGGGGGACCTTCATTTCCCTCATCACTGTCTCGGCCATTTCTAAAAATCAGCCATCCTCACTTCCCTTTTTCAAATTCTTCCAGCTCTTGGACAGCAATGTGCTTTGGCTGGGCTGCTCAGGAGCAGATAACCTTTGATCTATAAGAGAGAGAGAGGCACTGAGAGGGTGAGTGATTTGCCAAACGTCAGAGAGCTGGTCTTTGCTAGAACTGAGACATTAGTCTCAGTCTGGACCCCAAAAGCGTCCAAGGAGCTGACCCCACCACATTATGGCACCCTCATTCAGCCCTCAGATGAGGGAACCTGCATCTCTTTCTCCACAGGTAAGTGTGCCAGGCTTTTAGAGTCAGTTAGAGGTACACAGGTTCAACCCTTCACTCAGAACTGGTCCCCTCACCAGTGTACAGTGATCATAAAGTGACCTACTTCTGCTTGAATGCTTCCAGTGACAGGGAGCTCCTCCTTTCGCAGGGAAGTTTAGAAAACATCCCATAATCTCTCTTTCCACAGAGCTGACTCTTCTTTGTAGGATTAAGGAGGGTAAGATGAAGTCTTTCCTGTTTGTGGGATGGCCACCAACTTAAGTGTCTGAAGCAACTTGGAATTTCTCTTGGTTCCATATCCTAGCCCCCCCACCCCCCGCCCTTTGCTACCAGCTCAGCCCCTGAAGGACACGTACCAAGTCTTCTGTTCCAAAGGTAAACATCCTCGTTTATGCTCAGAGCGTTCGGGGGTGGAGGGGAACCTCGGTTTGCTTCCCTTGTGATGTCCTTCTTTTTCTCAGATGGTCGGGCTCTTCCCTACCACGCTGTCTGGCCCAGGAGTCCTCTAGGTGCATCCAGTGAGGTGCTCTGATGGGGGCGCTGAGTCAGGAGTTCTCCAGGGTTCTCGTCTCTTGATAAAGCAGGCCTGGGGCATCTCCACCTAGAGCTGGGCCCCCCCCGCCCATCAGCATTGGAATCCTCAAAAGCCAAGGGGAAGCTTAGTCTGAGTCACCTCGCTGAGGTCCCTCATCTTCAGGAAAGGAAATCAAGGTCCAGAAAGGCTGGACACGAATCTGAGGCCCCACAGCCAGAACTTAGGTCTTCCCACTTGTTTATCCTGCTGCTTCGTCATTGCTGTCACACCCTCCAAACAGTCCTTGTTGCTGGACTTTGCAGCATCTCGGACCCAGGTCTCTCTTCCCCCGCCCCCCCCACAGCTGATGATTTCTTTCTTTCAGCCCAGGTTTCCCACACCCACTCAGGGAGGGGGAAGAAATCTCACCAGGTTGTTTGAATTTGGGCCCCAACTTCCGTTAGAATGAGCTGAAGAAGAGCCGCGTTCCACCAGCATCACAGGAGGTTGGCCTGCCACGTGGTCCCTGGTGGGGGTCTAGAAATCAACATGCCACATAGATACTCAAAGAGATTCTGGACTCTCACTTGAATGCTTTCCAACTAGGAGATCTCAATCCATCCCCTCCATCAGAGACAAAAGGAAGGTAGGCAGTGGTACCAATTAGCCCAGCAGCTCTGAGTGCCATGCTTTCTAGAGACCATCCCATTTTGATCTTTATGACATCCATCCTGGGTGGAAGGTGCTGTCATGCCATTGGTCTGCTAGATTCTTTACATAGGAGTGAACCAACCTGTTTGGCCTTTGAGATACCCAGTTAGCCCCAGAGCTGGGATCGGAGCACTTCTTTCCATCCACGCCACTCTGTTCTGAAACTCAGGCAGCAGCCTCTCAAACACAGCAGGCTGCCTGGTGCTCTAAATTTAAATACCGTCTCTGAAGCATCTGTTGTGCTCCACTGTGCATCACCAATTGGGAGGAGGGTACCTGCGCTTTGGAATGATCACAGCAGATCACTTGCAGCCCAGGAATCCCCACTGGGTCCCTAATCCTTCCAGCAGAGGAAGCAGATGGATGCAGACTGCTGCCCAGGAGGCCTGGCTTTGCAGGTGCTCGTCAAAACCCATCTGTAGGAAAGGGTGAGTTGACTGCTTAATCTCGGTGCACCGTCGTTTGGTCTCTGCACACGGGGCCTCGGTTGGGAGAATATCTGGATGGTGACTTGGAAACCTGCAGATAAGCCCAGGCAGGTCATTTTTCTCTGCCTCCAGATCTTCTGAAAGCCTTGATTCCTAGTGATTCCTGGTCACTAGCGGTTTGAAGCTGGAGGGAAGAATGGTTTGGAGGCATTCGTTGTGCACACTGAGTTTGGAGGGGTAGGTGAGAGAGGTAAAAATGATTAAAGAAGGAAAACCACCCATCGCTGAGGTTTTCGGCCCTATTTCTTTATGTAAACTTCTTAAATAATAGGCCCTAATTAGGGTACCCGTTAAGGGCATCCACAGAGGCGTGGGGTCTGAGGCCTGTGCCGGACTATGTCCGTTCTCTTGGTGGGACGGGCGGTATCATCTGTCCAACACTCCAATGAATTGTATCTTCACCCTGAAAGGGGTGGGATGTGGGGTCTGTCACATGCAGGCCTGCTGCCTGGGAGTGGCTGACGTGTGTTTCTTACAGAGTCGTGGTTTGTGTGGGACCCCGGAAGGATCCCAGGCAAGGAAAGTTTGGCAGGACGGGGACCCGGTTCTCACCTCCAGCTTCACTGGGCTCCTGGAAATCCGTTCCCCTCCCTGGGCCTCTGTAGCTTCCTCATCCACACAATGGGCCAATTTGGGCTGAATTTGTGAGCATTTAGCACAATATCAATCTGACTGGTGAAGACATTTGGCCTGATGTTCTGGTCACTGGGCACATTTGAGGGTTGAGCCACAACATTGAAAACCCAAAATCATTTCGTTTGGCAGCATCCTGGGAGCTGGGAAGATGGCAAGTGAGTAGGCAGAGGCATCAAGAAGGGTGGTCATCGTGCAAACGAAGGCCCCGTGCGTGCTGGGTTCCCCAAGGCCCTGGGCATACATCCATTTTATGTGGTTATTTCTTGAGCACACCTTAGTAGGGGTTGCTGTTTGGGGGGGGGGCGGGGAGGGAAACCTATTACCATGATTCCTCCCTATCGCCCCAACTTTCTGTTGTGAAAATTCCAGATTTACAGAAAACTTCCATATCCCTTTCACCCAGACTCACCAGCCTTCAGAACTTTGCCACATTTGCTTAAACCGCCCCCCACCCCGACATTCATACCCAGGGGCATTTGGAGGATGAAGTGACGTCTGCAACTTTTAGGTGGTTCGGCCAAAGCGAAAAATTGTTTCTCTCCCAGGAACAAAAGCCTTCTCTTTGGTAACAGTGCTGTTATCACCCTTAAGTTTAGCAGTCATACAGTGATATTGTCTAAGACGCAACCCATATTCACATTTCTCACGTCGTCCCAAAAATGTCTTCCAGGGCCTTTTTGTGAATCTGAGAGACAATCCAAGATTGCATCCCACATTGCTTGTCTGCTCACCCCAGACTCCCCCGGTCTAGGATGTTTTCTCCGTTTTTGTTTGTCATGACGTTGCCACTTTGTTGTCTGAGCCGGTTCTGTTGTGGGCGGGCCCACGACCTGCCTCTGTTTCCTCAGGTTAAGGAATTAAAGGTGATGTTGTTACGATTAATGCATTTGAGAAATTTGACTCTCTGGAGACCTCTGTGATAACCTCTTTCGTCGTAGATAAATAAGGCATATTAAGTGCTGTTCCCCTTTGCCGGAGACACGAACTGAAGCTGTAGGAAAGGTGTCCAGGAGCTCCTGGATGCTGGGTCTCGTCACCAAAGCCGAGTAAGCCTCTGCTATTTCTAACTTCTCACATGGATCTCTCTTCTCTGCTGGGAGTCAGCAATCTTTCCCCTAAACACCTGTGGGGATGATGCAGCTATAAATAGACATAAAGCACCAAGACATTCTTTCATGGGTTGTAAAGGGTAGCAAGTGTAGCCCAGTAGAGTGGTTGGAAGGATGCCCGTAAGCCAGTGGGGTACTCGGCACCCAGTTCCTTCTCATCTCTGTTTGAGATGTGCGTTTGCACTGGCAAGTTCTATAGCATGGCCTTCTCAGTTCTGGTAGCATAGAGCAACCCACTGGCTGAGGCACGGTCCCTTTAATTTTGATCAAGAAAATATGTCCATACAGATTCCCGCCTCTGAGCCTTTGCCCATTCTGTTCCCGCTACCTGGAAGGTATCCCTGCCGCTCTCCAGCAAGGAGGTGGAGATGGGAGCATACTTTAAAAGCTCCTTCTGACTATTTGTTCCATGAGGGACTCAATGATGTCCTCCTCTGGGGTCCCCAGTCCTTCTTTCTATCATGGACAAATACACTGGGAAGCAAACCTCCAGTGACCCGGCCATAGGAGCTATACGTTCTGGGCAGCGCCCACAGCAGGGCATAAAGACAATCAGACTTCCAGCATCTTGCCTAAATGGCCACTCGTCACTGTCATCAAGGCACGTCTTAACTTCACTGCCAGACTTTGTTCCATCCCTGGGAACCGATGCACATCCATGGGATGAAAACCATCACCCCACCGTTGGCGATTCAGAGGTATTTGCCTGGCAGAGTTGGGTGGGCCACGTGCAATAGGGCCACAAGCTGTCCACAGCTGGGCATTTCCCATAAAGCAGGTGGTCGGTACATCTTCAGACGCCAGCGGCACGCTTGTGACATTTTGCCCTGGAGTGAGTGAGCCCTGTGATGCGAGTGTCAACAGGAGCCAGGGCAGCACCGTTTTCTCATGGGAGTACTTCTGGTAGAGGCTGAGCGGTGTGGGGCACACACGGCGAGGGACAGGATCCCCGGCCTCGGCTCTGCACCTGCCCAGCGCTCGCTCTGGGGCCCTGAGACAGGACAGGGCAGGCTCTTCTTTCTCTGCAGAGCAGCGTGAGGGAATAAAGCTGCATGCACACCTGGGACCGGCTTCTGCCGTTCGCAGGCAGGTGGTGGTTTTGCCTCTCTGAGCCTCTGTGTTCCAGCCTTTAAAGTTGGAGGTTTCAGATAAACCCCACTGCACAGGGTGCCTACAAGAACAGCATGTGCCAACATCGGGCGCCTATTCTGAGCAGAGTGCCGAGCTAGAGTTCTTAACGCCGTTTGCATTTCTTCTAAAGGCGAGTCCAAGGCTCCTGCAAGCTTACTCCCGGGCACTTGACTAAGTCCAGCTATGGGAAGAGGTGATCAGTCTGGTGGAGGAACGCAGGCAGGGCTTCAGGGAGGAATTGGCTTTTGGTAATCTTTGAGGAGAGCCCTGAAGGAGCAAGTGGGCACTGTTGCATGGGCAGAGGCCCAGGCATGGGAAAGGGCAGGGAGCAGCTATTTCAGCCAGTGCTCCGTGGCTTCTCTACCACAGAGCCACACCTGAAAGATGAGTCAGTGAGCTATCAAGGCCCTTCACAAGCTGGTCACACCTTAAGTCATCCAGGCTACTCTCCTGCTCAGGAACCTTCCATGGCTCCCCAGTGCCCACACATTTTATTTCAAGGTCCTTCGCTCTAACACCCAGAGCCTGAGCCCTGGGCTCTGATGGAGGAGCTATCCATCCTGATATCCCTACTGGGTTCTCCTCTGATTACAAAAGTCTGAAACTAGATCCTGGAGCCTCACCCAATTTGAATTCTGTGGCGTCCTATTCTTCAGGTGGACGTTAGGTCTGATTTGCATATGGGAATATTTCTGGATAGGATCTACTTGGTCTTTCATTTAAGCATCCTGGGGGCTTGTTCTGGTGCAGACTTCCAACAGCTTGACAAAAGGTTAGCGTGAAACCACTAAAAGGAAAACGTATACATTCTTGGGCTTTCTTGGCGTGAAGAATTCGCTGTTTGCTGAGACTCTGGGAGCAACAGATTTTGTGGCTGCCTGTGACCAGGAATGAGGGGTGGAGAGAGGAGAAGAGGACGCACTTGAGGGCAAGGTAACTTTTTACTTGGGGAGTTTTTATTCTCCACATCATCCCGTTCACTGTTGGATCCTAACTTCAGCCTCTTGGAGGCTCCAGTCGAGTTGCCTGGGGACCCCTACCATCCAGAGAGCAGCTCTTGATCTTGAAGAGGGAGGTCTTGTGAAGGTTAGCTATAAGCCTCGACCACTACAAACATAAAACCTCAGCTTTGCCCCTTCCAGCTCCTGAGCGTTGGGGGGTGGAGGCCTCAGGGCCTTCGTAAGCACCCACCCGGGCAACGGCTTTCTTTCCTTCCTCTTTGTAATCAGGCCAAGTGGCCTTGGGCAAGTCACTTCCTCTCCGACAAAGGATGGAATGGCCAGGGGAGAGGCAGACGCTGGTGAAGATGACAGGAGATCAGTGTCATTATGTTCCATGCTCTTGGCTGACATTTCCTTGGGGGGGGGGGGGGGGGGGCTTTGGAGGCGGGATGGCCAAGTCCTCCCAAGCATAGGGTTCCTGAGCGGGGCCAGCTCCTTCCCCCTGGGGAACGTCACATTTTCCAGGTAGAGTTGTTCTATAACCCTCCTCGCACCAAAGAATCATGTCTTTACCCAGCTCCTCTGACCCTTCTGTTGACAGGTTCTCCTTTGTGGCCCTGCTCAGTCCCAAGTGGACCAAATGCTTGGCAGTGGGCGGGCGGGGGGGGGGGGCGCGGTGGACATTGCCCAGTGAACCAAAGTCCCCCCTTTGCCTGACAAACCTTGGGGAGGTCCTACCTTTCCTTAACCTGAGAGATCAAAGTAGCTACTGATGTGAGCTGCAACAGTGGCTCTGCAGGGCCCCCTCTGAGCAGTATCCCTGCTGATCCATCCACTTATCCAGCGATTATTTATAGAGGTTTTGGGCATCTGCCACCAACCTCAGTGAGAGGCCACTGTGGTGAACCGGACGGTCGAGTTCCGTGGCCTCATAAGGCTAAAATTCCACTGGATCACATGCTCCCAAGATGCACAAGTTCTAGAAACAGAGTCAGATGAGCACTTCTTGGAATCAGAACGTGGCTCAGCTATTGCTGCACTTTCTTGAGCTGAATTTTAGAAGTTGGGTAGAAAAATAAAAATCGAATGAAAGGCAAAACACGATTAGTAGGAATCCAATGAAGCAGAACCCACAATTAACCAGATTTCTCTATAATTTGATGGCTCCTCAGAGAAGAACATGGTCCTGAAAAAGGCTAATTACATATTTGTTTATTCAGCCCACAAATAGCATTTTGACAGCCGTCTGGGGCTGGAAGGGACCTCCAGAGGCCACCTCAGTCCACCCTGTGCTTTCTCAGAAATCTCCACGGAACAGAAAATGCATTGGATTAGGTGATGCTGTTGGCCTTACTGAGTGAAATTTAAATAGGAAAACAGACTAACCCCACCTGGAAGGTCTGAGGCTCTCTTGCTTGTCCATAGTGTTGATCAGAAGGCTTGTAATTAAACAGAGGAGACACAGGAAAGATGTCAAAGAGGATGAGACTTTAAGTCACTGAACCGCTTAACAAGAAGGAAGAATTTCTAGTCTATTCCCAGCAGGCCAAGAAATTGCTGATACTCCCTCTACCATGTACACTTTTTAACTTAGCCAACTGTGTATCCTTGTACCTCAAACGTTAAACATTTAAAAAGTGTCATTTGTGACCCTAGGCATAGAAGAAGTTAAGCTTGAATTAGGTTCAAACTCACACCCGTTAAAATGATTGGCCTATATGCACAGGGAGTTCATTCTGGGAGTTGGGGGCACAAAGGTGTGATACTCACTTATTCATCTGGGGCGCGCGCGTGTATGCACTGACCGGGTATCTTTGGGTCTCTGGAGTTTTTTCTTTCTTCTTGGCATTGCTGGACATTTTCATGACTGCATGCTAAAAGGACCTGGGTTTGTTCTGATGGCGATGCTGCTGCTGGAAGGCCTCCAGAACATTCCCGAGGAGTGATGGAGATCAGGAAGTTTCTAGCAGAAGCTGGGTCAGCCTGGCCACATGCCAGGAGGATGGAACGGTTTGTCCCGAACCCCTAGCAGGGCTCTCCCTTCCCACGTTGGTGGGCGCTTGGGATTGGATAGCAGGCCCAACTGTGGTCAAGGCATCAGACCTTGGGTGGGAAGCCGCACCAGATTTGGCAGATTCAGTGATCCCAACTGGACCACAGTGAACCAGTTTCAAAGAAGCCTACTGTTCCTGTTCGTTTTCCTTTTGTTTATCTTCTCTGGCCTTCTCCACCCGTGGAGAGGGCGCCTTCACAAATGGCCTTAGAATGCCGTTCTGAAGTTTAACAGAATGAGACAGCCATCAAATGAATATCAGAGGTATTTACTATCGCAGCTTATCTGAAAAATGAAAAACAAAAACAAAACAAAACTGTATCACCAATGTTTACAAGTCCAAGTAGACATCCAGCCCATGTAAAATATGTAATTTATGCAAGGGATTGCATCTTTCTTTTGTAACGAATGCACTAAGCAACCCTGTATATATTTTACAATGTCTTTACAGAAAAAAGAAAATCATTTACTGTAGTGTTGTAAAATAATGCACTTTTCTAATTTTTTCATTAAAATCTCTATGGCACGTTTGCAAATGTGTTTTGGTCTTCCTTCACTAAGAAAAAGGGGAATCAAGAGGTGTTTTTGTCCAGGCTCTCCCGCCTTAAGCCACATTCGGAAAACTTTCTCAAGCAAGGTGGACAGAGTCAAAATTGTCATTGGTCTTCCTCACTGCAGGCAGGCCCGCTAAGAAGCCTTGCCCCTAAAAACCTCAGCAAGGACTTCAAATCAACCGAGACCCCCCGATTGGCCAATTTTTGTTTTTCTGGCTGAGGAATTTGAGTTCAAAACATGAGACAACGCCTTTGCCCTTTTCTACCTGTCTCTGCGTGTGTGTGGAAAAAAGCAGAAACAGGCAGATAAAAGATGCTCTGTCATCTCTGCGTCAAACGTAAACTCTGCTTCCGGCAACCCACAGTAGCTGCTGAAAGGTTAGGGGCTTCTGACCTCACTCACGTTCCAGAGGCCCGGGCATCACGGAACTCCGGGGGTGCCAGTGTCAGAGCTTCCCGAAGGGGTGGTATTCTCCGATTTTGCCCGCATCTAGAAGGCTCCTGAAAACACAGATTGCCAGGCCCCATCCTCACTGTGGGTCCAGGGTGGGGCCACAACTGTGCGTTTCTAACAAGGCCTCAGGGGTCCTGATGCTGCTGGGGTTGGGACCACACCCTTGAGGACCGTGGTCTTCCCCGTGCTGTCCCAACTCTGAGATTAAGGGGAGATTCTGGACCAAAGCACATCATGGCCACAGGTGGAGCCCCACGGAAGCCAGGCTCCTTTCTACTGGTCCTGTCGTAAGTGCGCTCATTCATGGGGTACCTGCTGCCTGTTCTGCTCTGCTGCCCCGGAACAGAGGCTCATACGGGGAAGAGGCCTGACCCTGGTAAGAACCTTGACTCTCAATGATCAACATCACATCGCCACAGTTTGTTCCTCGATAGGACACCTTGGTTCAGGAGCCGGGTCTTCTAAGCCAGGGGTTAGACAACTTTGACAATAAAGAGCCAGACAGTACCTATCTTAGACTTAATGCCATACCCCAACTCTGCCGCTGTAGCAGGAAAGCAGCCAGAGATAATACGTAAATGAACGGGCGCAGCTGTGTCCAATACACCTGTATTTATGGAGACTGAAATTTGAATTTCACAGCATTTTCATGGGTCACAAAATATTCTTCGTCTTTGGTATCCACCCCCTGCGCCATTTAATAATGTAAAACTCATTCTTAGCTGGTGGGCCACGCAGAGACCGGGGGCCGGGTGTGGCCTGGAGGCCACAGTTTGCAGACCCCTGTCCTAAGCTCTTCTCCAGATACGGACTCGTTTCATCTTCCCACAACCTCCGAGCTTGGTGCTGTTTGTGTCCTCGTCTGAGCCGGGGTTTCTCACAAGAGCAGCAAGGGCTAAAACTCAGTTCACGGCTCAGAGGGGGCTTTATTTTGTCCGTCCTTCGTGGACGTCCACCTTTGGGAGGCTTCAGAGGGATCATCAGCCCGGCCAGCCCAGGCCAGCCGCCCCTGACGGTGGTTCCCCTCCTCGCTCCGTACCACCCCAGCCCCGCCTGAACATCAAGCGTCAGCGAAGACACTGCTGGAACCCAGCACGTACGGTTAAGGGCCAGATGCAGCGTCCCCCCCCCCCCACCCGCCCCAGGTGAGGTCAGGGAACCCAGGCCATTGTCCCTGGCACTGTCGCCCCACAGAGAGCCTCTTTAGGCTGGGTCTCCTCGTCCTGCCTCTGGGAGGTTCCCAAGAAGATCACAGGCAGCACGTGGAAGAGGATTTACAATCTGTGTTGACATTTTAGAGACGAAGGTCTCGCTCTGATCCATGAGTCTCAGTGTGCGGCGACAGACCTCCATCTAGTGTCAGCCAGCCAGGCTGCTGAGAGCGCGGGAGGTCTCGGACGGGACAACAGTCGGGTGTGGATTCTTCCTGCTCTCCCCCCTCCCTCCTTCTCTCTCTCCCTCTTCCCGCCCCCTCTCCCCTTCCTCCCTTTCTTCCCCACCTCCCACCCTTCCATCCAGCAACCATTCATTAAAAATCTCCGGTCTGTACATCCACCTGCCCGTGACACCAGTTCAGTTGGGTTTCCAACGGGCATCTCCAACTTCGCGGGTCCAACGTGAACTCCTGATCACCTCCCTCCCCCCCACCTCCCCAGACCCCTGCTTCTCTTGAAGGGCTTCTCATCTCAGTAAGTCAGTGCCATCCTTCTAGCTGGTCAGGCCAAAGAACTCTGGAATTATCCTCGACTTCTCTTTTCTACCCCAAATCCAAACCCTCAGAAAGTCCCGTTGGTTCTACCTTCAACATTTATCCGGAATCTGACTCCTTTTCACCTCCACCAATCCGCCCTGGGTCCACAGTACCAGGTCTCGCCTGCATTATTGCGACAGCCCTCCACCCCCCCCACCTCCCCTCCCCCTTTCCTCCCATCTGCTTTCAATACAGAAGCCAATGCATGCGTTTGCATTTTAAACTCAGGGTTAGTGAGGCTTAACTCACATACAGAACAAGTCACCCTTTCTGGCTGTAGAGTTCTCTGCATCCTGACAACACACAGAGACTTAAAACAATCCTTCTAGAGTGTAAATAAGGTCAGGTCACTTTCCCTGCTCCACCCTCCCTGTTCCCATCCACCCCAGCTGACAAGGCCCTCCCAGAGCTGCTCCCCTGACCCCCTTGCAGCCCTGCTGGCCTCCTGGCTGTGCCTGGGCACCACTGCCCAGCGTGCTCTTCATGCTGTGGCCTGTCGCCCCCAATCAGGAGTCACAGGCCTCTTTGCCACTTTGGTTTCAGCTGCACTGGAGTATATCTGCACTTCCCCCTGGGGTCCTCTTCAGGGACCCTCCAAAGTGAAT